TGTTCAAGCTGGACTACCTGCCGGGCTGCGTCGAGTGGGCCTACTCCACGCTGGCCTCCGTCTCCGCCCGCCACAAGGACCCCTTCCCGGTGGTGGCCGTCTCCGACTCGGCCTCCAATCGAATCTTCACCTACGAGGGCACCGGCTCCAATCTGGAACCTCTTAAAGTCCTGGACCGCATTCACACCGCCCCCGTGGCGCGGATGCGCTTCAACGCCCTCTTCAGCACCATGGTCAGCGTCGACGAGAAGGGGATGCTCGACTACTGGGGCAGCCATCGCGCGGAGTACCGCTTTCCTGGACCGGATGTAGTCGCCTTCGCCAGCAAACTGGACACCGACCTCTACGAGCTGGCAAAGGCGAAGGTGCGCCCGCACGACATTGCCTTCTCCCCTAATGGAACGCACTTTGCGATGATCTGCTCCGACCGGAAGGTGAGGTTGTACCGCTTCGCCACCGGCAAGTTGATTCGCGTCTACGATGAGAGTCTGGCGCAGCTGACGGCGCTGCAGCAGGCGACGCCTCAGCTGCCGAATATGGAGTTTGGAAGGCGGATGGCCGCAGAGCGAGATCTGGAGAAGGTGGAGCACATGTTCCGCTCGGAGCGGATTCTCTTTGATGATAGTGGCCACTTTTTGGTCTACCCGACGATGCTGGGTAGGTTGACCTTCTTTCTTTCGTTTGAGTTTTGTTTACTTTTTTAACTGTTTACCTTTTACCCAGGCATCAAAATCATCAACTGGGCGAGCAACAAGCTGGTGAAGATGCTCGGCAAGGGGGAGAACTTTCGCCCGATTGCCCTCGCCCTCCACCAAACCATTCCCGACCTGAAGACGGTGAAGAGCACGGTGACGCCGGAGATGGCGGCCAGTAGCAATCCCAGCCTGGAGGCGGCCGGCCAGGCGGATCCGACGCTCTTTGCGACCGGCTTCCGGAAGAACCGCTTCTACCTCTTCTCGCGCCGGGAGCCGGACGACTCGGCGATCGGCGAGGCGAACGCCGACGGCACCGGCCTGCTCACCGGCCTCGAGCGGGACGTCTTCAATGAGAAGCCCTCGCGCGAGGACATGGTCGCTGCTTCGGAGGGCCATGGCCACTCTTCGGGTACTTCCGGTTCGGGAGGAGGAGGAGGTGGTGCTCACAAGCTGGCGGAGACCGCTTGTCTCCATACTACCCTCGGGGATATTACCCTGAAGCTGTTCGCCAAGGAGTGCCCCCGCACGGTGGAGAACTTTGTGACGCACTGTCGAAACGGTTACTACAACGGGCACATCTTCCACCGGGTGATTCGGCAGTTTATGATTCAGACGGGAGACCCGACGGGAACGGGCACCGGCGGCCAGTCGATCTGGGGCGGCGAGTTTGAGGACGAGCTGGTGGCGGAGCTGAAGCACGACCGGCCGTTTACGGTGTCGATGGCCAATGCGGGCAAGAATACCAATGGGAGTCAGTTCTTCATTACGGTCATTCCGACGCCGTGGCTCGATGGGAAGCACACCGTCTTTGGACGGGTGTCGAAGGGCATGGACGTGGTGCAGGCGATCTCGCAGGTGAGGACGCACCCGAAGACGAGTAAGCCCTATGATGACATCAAGATCCTCAACATTCAGGTCAAGTGAGAGGAGGAGGAGGAGGAGGAGGTAGTTTTGCTATTTTGTAAAGTATTTTACTTGATAATAAAGATGAGGGTGAACAGAGAGTGCTAACACAGATAAATGATTTGAGGAAGGGAGGGAGGAGAGGAAGCGAAAAAAGAGGGAGGTTATTGCCCGGGGGAGAACTTTTGTATAGGAAGGAAAGAAGGGGGGGAAAAGTAGTAGTAGTAGAGACTAGAGATTCGGAATATAAAAATAGATAGATTATTGGGAAAGGAGGTTAGGGAAGAAGAAGAAGGGTGCAGGCTGAAAAAAGGGTGCTCTGGTGGTGATGATGGTTGTGGTGATTGTAGTGGTGATGATCATCATTCCTTCGAGTCCTCCTCCGAGGCGTAGGGCGGCAGGCCAAAGTCCTCCGGCTTAAAGTCCTCCAGGGAGGTGAGGCGCAGCGTGGGCGTCACCTGGCAGGCGGCCAGGTCGACGTTGGGATTCGCCTGCACGAAGACCGTCTGCGCGCCGGCGGTCACGGCGCTGGTCAGCCCGGTCGGGGAGTCCTGGTAAAGGAGAAAGAAAAGTAGAAGATTAGAAAAAGCTAATAAAAACGCTTCAGCAAAGCCTGTACCTCAAAGGCGAGCACCTTACTGGGCGGGGGCGGCGGCTGATCTTCAGAGCCGAAGCGCTTGATGGCGACCAGATAGGGATCAGGGTGGGGCTTGTTGCGGCTCACCTCGGGGTCGTCGACGCCGACCACCACGTGGCGGAAGATGACGCCCGGCGTGAAGTAGTCGTCGAAGAGTTTCACCTGCAAACCCAAACCCAAATCCAAAGCATCAAATGGTCAATTTCGAAATCGAAATCAAAACAAAACAAACCCCTCCCCTCCCCCCTTTTACCTTGTGCTCATAGCTCTCGCGCATGCTGCCCGTGCAGATGGCCATGGGCACGTGGTGGGCGGCGAGGTGGGCGACCAGGCGTTTGGCGCCGGGCAGCAGGCGGACGCCGACGCCGCCGACGTCGAACTCGCCGGTGATGTGCCGCTTGAAGCGGGCGAGGACCTGGCCGATGAAGGTGGGGGCGGTGCAGGGCAGGCCGAGGTGCTCGATGATCACCGGGGCGCTGTTGCGCAGGTCGAGGCCGATCGTTTTGGAGCGGAGGGCCCGGTCGATGCCGCCCGCCTGGCCGTACTCCCCGGCGAGGACGTCGTTCAGCGCCAGGTGGACGAACTTCTCCGAGTCGATCAGCGTTCCGTCAAGGTCGAAGATGACGTGGGTGACGGCCGGGAATCGGGTGGTGATGATACTGTTGTTGGCGGCTGCTGTTGACATGGCTGCCAAGAATCGGTGCTGCTGCTGAAGTAGTTGAAAGTAGAAACCGGTGGAGTTTTGAGCTTCAGCTGCCGCTGTTGCTGATTGCGATCTGCAAATGAAAGCGAAGAAGATGAAGCTTGTGCTACATGTTATAAATGTCGAAACAAAGAGTAGGTAATTAAACCTCATAAAGATCATGACAGCGGTGTGACTAACCTATAGAGAGGGAGAGAGAGGGGACAGTATCACCACCACAACCACAGTTGCCAGACGATTAGATAGAGCAAAAGCACTGGTGATTAATCGGCTGCCTTTAAGTGGTATTTGAACTTCCGAGGCTCAACTGTCAAGTTGAGTAGTACTGTTCTGCAGCTGCTCAATGTGCTCGCTTGGCTTCGGCTAATGTTGCCTTCTCTTTGCCTTTGGAGAGTTGTCTGCAGCAGCTACAGCAGCAGATCACTTTTGAGGTTCCTTCTTCAGCTGGTGAGCGGTATAGCTCACTGAGCCGAGCTGATCTTGTTCCCCCACAGAGTGGTGGAAATGAAGACGGAGAGAAAGCTAAAAAGTAGCAGTAATCCCCTACATCGATGACAGCGGCGAATGTGTATTTTTAGAGCTATGAAGACGATTTTCGAAGAAGAGGAGGAGGAAGAAGATTCTCAGCACTTAAGATTGTCGTTACCAGTGTATTCCCTGAGATCTCCTCGAATTGTGTGAATTGTCAGCTGGAAGAGACGCCGTCTCTTAGAGACGGTATATAGCAGTGTGATGTTTGCGCTGTTGACCGGCGGCGACGAGAGTACTGGGGAGGTACCACTGCTCTTATCTTCGACAACTTCAAAGCCAACTTGTAGATCTTATCAGCAGCAAGCTGATCTGCTTCTTTAATCAGTAAACGATATATCGCTGTCCGACAAGTTATCCTTTCTTCAAATGCTTTTTTGCTTGTCAACTTTTTTTTTCTGTTTCTGTTTCTGTTTTTTCCTCTTGGTCACATGGGTACGTCCTCTACGGAGGGACAGTTGCGAAATGTTTTTTTGCTTGAGACATTTTTTTGCTGCGAGAAAAATCACTCTCACTTCACTTTCATCATCGCTCAGGCGGCCCACATGTCGGCTTCTGTTTTCTGACTTCTCAAACTCAGATCAAACTCGCTCGAAACGCAAAGTTCGCAAGCTTCTCGGAACTGTCTTCAAGGCTGATTTGTTTTGTCTGGTTTCGTGTCCTCATCCTCATCCTCGGAATCTGCGATCTACAGCATGGCTGCAGTCGGAAAACCAACAACAACTGCTGTGGCGGGAACGCAGCAGCAGCAGCAGCAGCAGCAGACCATCTCCTCGACGGTTTCAACTTCCACTGCTGTTACTAACTCTACGGCGGCCAGTTCCATTGCCTTGACTCGTCTGGCGGAGGAGCGCAAAGCCTGGCGCAAGGATCATCCTTTTGTAAGTGATCATCATCTGTAATGGTAGTAATCTCATGCCTTTACTAACGTAATTTTTGTTTCTTCTATTAGGGCTTCTTCGCCAAGCCAGTTAAGAAGCCCGATGGCACTTTTGATCTCATGGAGTGGGAGTGCGCCATTCCCGGCAAAGCAAACGTAAGTGTTGCGTTGTAGTAGTTTTTTCCCTCTTTTTTCCTTTTTCCGCTAACATTTTTTCCCTAACATTTTTTCTTCACTTTCCCTCCTCCACTGTTGTGTAGACTCTCTGGGCGGGCGGCCTCTTCAAGCTGAAGATGTTCTTCAAGAATGAGTACCCCAGTGCGCCCCCGAAGTGCCGCTTCGATCCGCCCATCTTCCACCCGAACGTCTATCCCTCGGGCACCGTCTGCCTGTCGCTGCTGGACGAGGAGAAGGACTGGCGCCCGGCCCTCACCATCAAGCAGGTCCTGCTCGGCATTCAGGAGCTCCTCACGGAGCCCAACGCCCGCGACCCGGCCCAGGCGGAGGCGTACGCCGTCTTCTGGTAAGTCTTCTGAGCTCTTTCTTTGTTTTTTTGTTGACACTGACAACTTCTTTTTCTTCCCCCACCTTGTACCCAGCAACGACCGAAACGAGTACGAACGCCGCGTGAAGGAGCAAGCCAAGCGGATGGCCGTCAAGCTGTAAAGTGATCAGCAGTAACAGCAGCTCTTTTCCTCAAACCTTCAATTCAAGATTGTTGCCCCAACTCCCTCCTTCCCTCCTTCTAAAACATCTTCAATCTTTGCGTATCCCCCATAACATGGCAATATGATTATGATTCCGGCATCCTCTCCTCTCCTTTCCTCTCTCTCTCCTTAAACATAAACATTGAACCACATTGTACAGAAATAAAATTTAAAATGTTCTCATTTATTTTACAGGCAAGTTTGGCGGCGGCGGCGGCGGTGAGGTGTTTATCAAATGTGTGTAGATCCGAATCAAAGTCGCCAAAAGTTGGGATTCTGCTTTAGATTGCGCATGAATCGCTGGTACCAGTCGTTGATGGTGCTGAGCGGCACAAACTGCTGCCCGGCGGCGGCCGGATTATTGGCGAAGCTCAGCGCACTGTTGCTGAAGCTGGAGCAGTAGTTGAAGAGGTTCTCCGCCGTCTTGTTGGTGAACTCCTCGAACTTGCTCAGCACCGAGCCGTTAGCAATGCTGGATTCGGCATTCACGGAGGGATCGGCGGCCAGCTGGAGGATGGCCGCCTCCGGCTCGATGGAGATGCCAATCTGGGCGACGTGCGAGATGATCGGCTGGACGAAGCCGAAGCCGGTGCTGCTGTTGGCAGTGGTGTTTAGGTCGCCGCCAATTAGGCTGTTTCCATTGTCGCCGGTGGCCATCTGCTTCAGCTTGGTGATCTTGAAGATGGCCGACGGCTTCTGGTTGGAGATGTAGCCGAGGTAGTTCCAGGTCGGCGGGGCGTGCGGGTCGGGGAAGCTGAAGTACACTGAAGGAGAAGGTGTTAAAACCAGGTGAGCAGGACTAAATCGAAACACTTCGAAGTTGACAGCGGACATTACCTGCGCCGGCCATGCCCTCCGGCAGCGGACAGAGGCCGGTCATGAAGACCACCAGGTGGTTGATGTTGTCGGCGCTGGGAATGGTGATGAGGAACTTGTTGCTCTCCACCAGCTGAAAGTCGGTTTGCACCTGAGGAAAACAGGGAAACAAAACAAGCCGAATTTAGAATCCACAAAGAAATCCTCTTCCCTCTCTTTCGCCCAACACCGATTCCGGCTTACCAGTCGGCCAGAGACGATAATCGCAAAGGTGTTGGCCATCGCTTGTCAGGCACTCAGTAGCTGTCTACGGTTTTCGATGATGAAGAATAGAAAGAGAGGTGGTAAAAGATGAAGATGTGATGATTGAGAAGTGACTTCAGAAGAAAGCTGTCTCTGTCTCCGAAACCAAAACACCGGACAGTGCGCTACCTGGGAGAGAAAAGTGGAAACAAAGGTGCGCTGGAGACTTTTCGGGAAAAATCTTTTGAGCTTTTGCACTGTTTCGGGCTGCTGCTGCTGCTGCCGGCGGCCTACTTTTCACTTTCCCTCGAAGCTCGGAGCTCTCTCTCCTCGAGCTGTTTGTTGTTTGTTGTTGTCGTCGTGTTGGCCACGTGTGATACCTCACCACCACCACCATCACCACCGGACGGAAGATATTTGGCTTCCGGGACCCGTCAGGAAGTTGAAGAGGCCTAATCGAGAGGAGGGACATCAACATGGCCGACTATTTAGCCTCCATCTTTGGCACTGAAAAGGACAAGTAGGTTTTGCTATTGTTATTCTTGTTTTAATTAAAGTTCATGATCATAATTTGCACCGGTAACTGTTTTTGTTTTTCAGAGTCAACTGCTCCTTCTACTTCAAGATCGGCGCCTGTCGACATGGAGAGAGGTGCTCTCGCATTCACAATAAGCCCACCTTTAGTCAGGTAATGTTTACTGTTGTTGAGTTAATAGTGAAAATATTCTCATTTTACGCTCTCATTGTCCACAGACTATTCTCCTGCAGAATCTGTATCAGAATCCGCAAAATGTGACGCAGTCGCTGGATCCGCTGGGCAAAGGTATTGTGGTTGTTTTCGCTATAATATTTACCAGATTCAAGATTCAACTTATTTGTTTTTTCGCTGCCATTTATAGAAACGACCATCCAGCGCGTCAACACGATGAGCGAGGAGGACGCCCAGGAGCACTTTGACGACTTCTTCGAGGACGTCTTCGTCGAGCTGGAGGACAAGTACGGCGAAATTGAGGAGATGAACGTCTGCGACAACCTCGGCGACCATCTCGTGGGCAATGTATACGTCAAGGTAAGAGGAAGTTACTTCATTCTTTTATTTATTTATTTCTGAAATCGAAATGAGTGAAATTAGAAGGCCTCACCCTCAATTCACCTAATTTTTTCTAATTCTTACAGTTTCGCAGCGAAGAGGACGCCGAACGGGCGGTGAATGAACTGGGCAACCGCTGGTTCGGCGGACGGCCGATTCACGCCGAACTCTCGCCGGTGACCGACTTTCGCGAGGCCTGCTGTCGGCAGTATGAAATGGGGTAAGTTTTTATCTGCTTTTGTTTTTTTTGTAAAAACTGCTAAACACTAATTTTCTCCAGTGAGTGCACCCGCAGCGGTTTCTGCAACTTCATGCACCTGAAGCCGATTTCGCGAGAGCTGCGCCGTGAACTGTACGGCCGAAGACGGGCGGCCGCTCTGGAGCGACGAATTGCCAGGTAGGCCTGACTTATCTAAAAAAGATAAACAACATCTTCTAAAACTCCGTTTTCCCTCTCTTTCTCTAATCAGTTACATTGGCGGCGGCGCTGACCGCTCGATTACCGCCAACACTACCCGAAGAGGCGGCGGTATGGACCTGGAGCGCAGTCCCTTTGGCCGAGACGATGGCTACTCTCGCTCTTCGCGGGACCGAGACCGAGGCGACCGAGGTGGTGGTCGAGGAAGTGACCGAGGAGGAGAGACTAGGCGACGTGAAAGTCGGGACCGAGACCGAGACTCTCGACGTCGTCGTGGCCGAAGTGGCTCTCGCGATGTGCCCTCTACCTCATCTTCCTCAAAGCGCCGACGCTCCCGATCTCGGTCCAAGGAGCGCAGCAGCAGCCGAAGCAAAAAGCACGCCGGAAGCAGCAGCAGCGGAAGTCGAAGTCGAGGTGATCGTGGCGATCGTGAACATCATCATCGAACTGACCGAGGTGAGAATGGTAAACTCGTCGTTAAGCGAGAAATTGTTGAGGAGGAGGAGGAGAAGGTGCAAGTGTCCTGGACTGAGAACGTCGTGGCTAATGTTGACATTGTTAAAATCGAACCCAAAGATGACGTGACGGAGGGAGCGGCTGGAGCTGGTGGAAACGACCACAACGACAACAGCAACAACGAAAACTCAGCTGATGACTTCGGCAGCTACAATCCGGCACCGCCGCCAGCGTTGAAGAGAGAAGATGAGGAGTACGCTGGATATGCTGATCATCATCATCACCCCCAGCAGGACTCTTATGCTAATGGAGGAGCTGCTGGAGGAGTGGCAGCGGCTGAAGAGGAGGAGGACAGCTCCAGATACGGCGGCGGTGGTGGTGGTGGTCATTATCAGCAGCAGCAGGAGGATCCACAGGCAAGTGAGGACCTAGAGGAGCACTACCTTCAGCAACTTCACCAGCAGCGACAGCAGCACCAACAACAGCAGCAGCAACAACAGCAGCAGCATTATCCACAGCCAAGGGAGGCGAACTCAGAGGAGTTCTACCGTGAGCGATTTCACCACCGACAACTGGAGGAGGAGGAGGAGTTAAACGATGTGTTCGCCGAAGGGGCGGTCAAGGTGGAACGGGAAGAGGACGGCGGTACTCAGCTGTACAATGATGACTCCAATTCGAACTCGAACAGCAATCAGATGATGGCCAACTACGGCTACGCCTACACCGGTGGTGAAGATGATGATGAAAATTGAATTGGGGTGAGTTGGCCTTAAGGTTGGATCAGAGTTGATGCAGAGCACTGGTAATCCTGGCTCCTGACTGGTATACTGATGATGAGCCTGTCAACACATCTTTTTGCACACTACCTTCTTCTTCTACTTCTTCCTACTCCAAAAACTCAAACCTTCCTCTTCTCAAACATGTCCTCCCTCTTGAGTTTTTGGATCATTTGCTCTCACATCTTTTATTGCTTCTTTTTCACGACCCTATTATCCTTTTCTTTGGCTCTCTCAATTATGATATCACTTCATTTCTTTCCACTGCGCTACCACCTGATTTGAATTCTGTCCAACAATAGCAGCAGCAGCAGCAGAACCAGCACCAACAACCAAGATGGTTCTTCTTCCAATCACTCACTCTTTTGTACCATTTCCACCACACCCAAGCAAAACTAAAACTTCTGTCTCTTTTTTGAACCGCAACAAAAGGATCTCGCGTTGTTTGAAAGCTTAGCTTTTATCAACTTATGAAACACAAAACAAAACAAACAAATCACGGCGCAAAACAGGCTCCTGTGTAGAGGAGGTAGTAGAACACAAAGCACTTCTTGCTTTGACTTCACTTCTTGCCGCTCTTCTTGCTGGCCTCCTTCTTGGCGCCATCTTCCTTTTTACCGCCCTCCTCCTTCTTCTTGGGCCCACTCTGCTTGGAGAGAATGGCCACCAGGAGGTCGTAGATGGCCTTCAACTCTTCGATCATCTTGGAGCCTAGGGCGGCCGGATCGAGGTCGAGGAGCATGAAGAGCAGGCGATTGATGGCGAACTGGTTCTTCGCCGACTTGAGCGCCTTGGCGGCCGCCTTCGCGTTGATGGGCTCCTTTGCCTCCTTCGCCTCGGCCTTCTTCTCCTCCTCCTTTGGAGCTTCAACTTTGGCTGGAGGAGCCGCCTCTTTCAGCCCGGGTGGATTCACCAGCGGGGCCGACATACGTCCACTGCCAACCGAACTGACCTGGACCGATCGAACCAGGTGGTGGAGTTTGTGCAGGCTGCCCTTGATCTCCTCGTCCACCTCGTCGGGGTTGATCGCCTCCACCATGGCCACCAGCTGCTCGATGGCCTTCTTGTTGCCGTGCGCCTTGCTTCCCTGGCTCATCTTCTGCTGTTGCTGTACAGGAAGTTGGAGTTTTTGGCTGAAAAAGAGGATTCAATTGGCAAAGTGGAAAAAGAGAGAATTGTGAGTGCTTGTAAAACAGGTTGTGATGAGCAAGTGATGCTTTTCAACTGCCAGGAAAAGGGTAGTTCGAAAAGTGCTTTTGGTGTTGTAACAATAGATGTTTATTTATTATTTTTTGTGTGTTTACTGCGAAAAAAACCGAGTGAAAAAACACAGTAAACGACTGATTGATTGGTTGAGACAAAAATCTGTTATATAAATTGAAGATAGCTGATAAAAGTAGAGAAAAGTAAAGAAGAACTATTAGATAAAAAATAGTGGCAATAAAAGTAAAGCTTGAGGGAGAACGAAAGCAAAATAAAATCCGGATCTTAAGATCTGTGCACTGATTTTGGTGCAGTGATTTGATGTTTCTGTTGCTGTTCTGCTGTGTTGTTGTTGTTGTTGTTGTTGTTGTTGCTGCTGTTTAGCAGTAGTAAAGACGGTTTCGAACTCGCTCGTGAATCTTCACCCAGTCATTGAGCTGGCTGATGATGCGCTGCTCCTCCGCCTCCTGCGAGCTGGACTCCTTGAAGGACTGCAGTTCGCGTTGTCCTTCCTAAAAAAAGGTTAAAAGCTGTTTAGAAAAAGAGCTACATTATCATCAACAAAAGTGGACTCACGATGTGCAGCTTGGAGCGGTAGGCGCACAGGTCGGCGTAGCGAACCGGAGCGGGAATTCTGTGAGTTTCAAAATGAAGTTTAAATTAGAGATTTGGTAATCGAAAAATGTGGTTTTTCTTTCTACCACTTACGCAATGACCTTGTTGGTGCGAATGCAGTTGTGGCAGGCGTAGAAGCAGAACTTCTGCAGGTCGTCTGTGGACAGCTTCAGCTCGTCCAGCAGGCGAATGTACTTGGTGGGTTTGGAGGTGCCCTGAAGAGAGGAGGAGAGAAAGAAAAAAAGTGTTTCATTATGTGTTTATCATCATAACATCAATTCACCTCGCCCTTTGCTTACCAGTGGGGAAAAGTGCGAGTTGAGGTAGAAGACGTCGTAGATGGGCTCCACAATCGACTGGTCCACTACCGTTCCGCCGGGCACATTGTAGCTGGGGTGTTTGCCCGCCGGCTCCGCCTTTGTCAGCACGAATCGACAGTGGTGGCGTTTCTAAATTCAAATGAATAATGTTATTACTACTATTTCAAAAGTAGTCAATAGAAAATTTAGTAGATGAATACCTGCGTGACAATGACGCTCAGCTTGTAGCTCTTGCTGACCTTCTTGATGGCGGCGCGAATCAGCGGAATCTCCTTCTCCTTCACCTGCTCAAACTGGCCCTCGGAGACGCCGTCGCGGAAGACGAAGATGTTCTCCGGGTAGTAGTTGTTGTGCTTCCGGTACTCCTCCAGCAGCTCGGAGGTCTAGAGGTAAGAGTTTAGGAGTGATGGAATTGATAAGAGTTGATAAGAAAAGCTTATCAACAAGAAGAAGAAGAAGAAGAAGAAGAACCACTCACCATCGAATCGAGCTGCTTCACCATCTCATCGCGCTCCTTCTTCTGCACGCGAATCGAGGCGGCGTACTTGGTGAAGGCATTGTCGTAGGAGCCGACGGCCGCCGAAATCGAACTGAGCACCTTCTCCGTGGCGCCCGGGTGGTTCACGTCGACGCCCATTACCATCGTCTTGGCCATCGAGAAGGGCAGCTGCGTCTGAATCACCCGCGGGTCGATGATCATGTTCTGGCCGTTCAACTTTCCGTTCACCTTCAGGAGGAAGTTCTCCAGGTAGCCGCGCTTTGCGCCCTGGTTCACCTGGGTGATATACTCTGACTTGAAGCAGCAGCTGATGATGCCGTACTTCTGGTCGCAGTGGTGCTTGATCAGGTTGTACATCACCGGCGGCGGGACTTCGTTTCCTGTTTGCAAAGGAGAGAGAAGGGTTAAAATAGCCGTACCCAGCCGTACAAAGCTGTACAAAGCAGTACAGCAACAAGAAGAAGATCACACTACTTACGGGTGGGAATGCCCATGAAGACCAGCTCGGCATTGGTCTTCTGCTGCAGGTGGGCAAAGATGTGCCCCACCGACTCCTTCGTCCTCACCGTCATGCGCATCAGCGGATTCGGCTGCCCGGCGAACTTCAGCCCCAGGGCGTTCGCCTGCCGCTGAATCGATTGCACGAAGATGCTCACCTGGTCGGCGGGGACGGTCTCATCGAGGACCAGCACGCCCCAGCGGGTGGGCACCGTCCCGCCCTTGTGGAACTGGTTCTGCCGGCCGGACATGGGGGCGGCGGGGAGGACCCGGCCCACCAGCTGCACCGGCTTCGGGCTGATGGTCTTCAGGCCGAAGGCATTCTGCAGGGCCGGGTTCAGCGAGCTCACCTTCTCGACGATCTTCTTGCAGCGGTCAAAGTAGACATTCGGTGCGTGGGTGCTCTTCAGCAGCAGCTCATTCTGCACCGCCTTGTCGGCCTTGGTGTGGGAGAGAAATTGCTTGTCCACCAGGTAGCAGAGCTCCATCGGCAGGTAGCGCTTCTTGCCGCTCGTCTGCACCAGCGGCAACGCCTGCAAGTTCATCCCGTAGGCGGTCTTGAAGTATTGGGCAATGGTCACCCGCTGGCCGTCCTTCCCCTCGAAGGTCATTCGCTGGGGCGTGTCGCGGGGCAGCACCCGGTCGACGGTGTAGCCGATCTTGCCCTTGCCGTGGCTGGTGAAGACCTTCAGGTGGCGGACCACCTTGTTGATCTCCCGCCACTTGTACTCCTCAATCTGCTGGTTAGGGTGGGCGAGGTCGCGGACACCGGCCAGGCTGGCCACCATCGCCGGCAGCGTGGTGAAGGACTTGGTGATCAGGCCGGCGGTCTTCAGGTGGACGTTGAGGGCGAGGCCGAATTCGGTCATTTGCACGGAGCTGATGAAGCCGTTGACGAAGTCGGCCAGGGGCGCCTGAGTGGAAAAGAAAAAAGCGAAGAGTTACTGTAGGTGTGTAAACAAACAAAACCTCCACTCGATTTGATTTGTGTTTACCTTGAAGCCAAGCGGTCGCCGGGTGCTCATGTCGAAGAACTTCCGCTGATAGGACTCATAGGGCCCGGTGCACATGAAGCGGAAGACCATCTCAAAGATGGAGAGCACCCGCTCGCTGATGTCGCCCGTCTTCTTGTTGTAGAAGCTGGTCACCTCGGAGAGGTCGACGCGGTCCACCCGTTTCACCTTCAGCTTGAAGAAGCCCGGCCGGCCGCCGGGGATGTCCACCTTGAGGTTGTTGAAAACCTGCTCGTCGCCGCCGCCGCCGCTCAGCTTGAGCAGCTTCGTGGTGTAGAGGTTTCGCTGGCCGTCCCACACGTACTGCAGGTCCTTGCTGAAGATGGCCTGGTTGGCCGCCACCAGCGCCTTGATGATGTCATTCGAGCAACGGGCGAGGAAGCGGACAAAGGCCTTGTTCGCCTCCTCGGCCTCTTCCGCCGCGGCCGCCGCCTCGGCCTCGGTCTTCGGCTTTCCTCCTGCTGGTGGTGCCTTTTTGGCGAAGCGCTCATTCTCCGCCTTGGTGATCTCCACGTCGTAGTGCACCACCACCACGTCGGCGGTGGTGATCTTGTAGAAGTTCGCCAGCAGGTGCACCTGACGGCCGATCTTTCCGGGCGCCATCTTCTGCGGGACAATTGTCTTGTGCACCTCCGACTCGGCCATGGCCACGTTGCGGTCTTCGAATTGGCCGTCTCCGCCCCCGCCTCCGCCACCACCGCCGCCTCCACCACGGCCTCCGCCTCTTCCGCCGCCGCCGCCCTGATATCCACCGCCACCACCACCTCGACCTCCTCCTCCTCCGCCTCTTCCACCACCACGATAGCCGCCTCCTAAAAGAATGGTAAGTTGAGCGCTTTTAATTGCAGCCAACAACAACAGCACTCCTCAGTGCCACCAGTATTCACAGTGACAATCAGACTTACGGTTAGACATGTTGTTGGTGTTAGTGATGCTGCCAAAGACGATTGATGAAGCTGATTTTAAGGATTTCTGTCTGGTTAACTGTCCACTGGTTAGACTGCTGATTTCCTGTGGATTTCTGCAGTGATCTGCTCGCTGGGATGTTGTGATGATGCTCAGCACTCCGTGAGCTCTGTGTGCTCAGCACTGTGTGCGTTGGCTGCCGAGTGTTGGTCGGATTGGAAGTACTACCACTACCACTGCTGCTCGGAGAGCCTGCTCACAGCCTCTCTCTCTTTCAGTGGGACACAAACACACACACACACGTTACTACCACTCTCTGCTATCCTCGACAATGTTGCTGCTGTTGTCCCTTCCCTGCTCTCATCTCTTGCCTCTGACGCGACGACAGAAGTAGAAGTCTCTCTCTCTCTGGAGAGAGAAAGTGCTTCTTTTATTTTTTCCCCGCCTTCCGCTACGCACTACAGCAGCAGGAGTGGCGGGCTATCTTTTCCAGGCAAATCGCTGATAGAGTGACTGGCTGCTGCTGCTGCTGCTGCTGATAAAATAACCAAATTGAAAGGACTGAAGTGGTGTCCCCCAAGCTGCCGCTGCACACTGTGCCCGATGATGACTGTCTTTGCTTGTCAGGGCTTGAACATTTTAGCAGCACCAGAGTGACTAAAGTGCGCACTGAATGTACACGTCATCAGTGCTGCTGCTGCCAATGGTGATGATGATCACATCAGTGGTATCACATCAATGGTATGCCAGCATTACCAGCACTCATTTGCACTAGTCATTGGCACTACCTCATTCAATCACCGCTGATGAATGTCAAAGCACTGATGCACTGATGCACTGATCTGACTTTTAGACTATTTTTCGCAGCAAATTATATTAAAAATTAAAAGAAGTAATGACAGCAGTTCATGATGCAATGGAAAGAAAAAGAATACAGGTGAGCAACATGCAAAATCATATGGGAAGAAGTAGTAGTACATAAGATAATAAAAAGTCATTGATAAAAAATAGGTTGTGTGTTTAGTGTGTGTTGATAGATAGGGAATCCAAGCTTGAGGGCAAGCTTGGCACTTCAGTGTCTGTGTCAGTGTCCTCAATGTGAGTCACCAGTTGAGCTATTGGGAGAGAGGATAGATAAACACTCACTGGTTGCCTGGAGAGCGGGGGTGACAGGATGTTGTGTCTAGCACGGCCAAGCCAAGCCCCAAGGCAGCAAGTCAATTCAGTTCGTTGCTTTCAGTGGTTGATTGCCAGCGCTGGACTTTGTGTGTTCGGTGTTCTGTTGTTGATAGTTAGCCGCCGCTGTTGAATTGTTGTTGTTTGCTTGATTTTATGGCAAAAGTTCAGTGCTGCTGCTGTTGCTGTAAATTGCCTGCTGCTGCTGCTGTCCTGCTTAGAATGCAGTGCTGTCGTGCTGTGCGCGTTCTGTGGGGTACTTGTTGTGCTGCTGCTTGGTCAATAAACTACTAAAAAAGAGGGTCATAAAAAGAGTGGGGCCTCACTCTTCACAATTCACCTCTCTCTCGCTAGACATAAAACATCTTACTGGCCGATCGCTCGTCGACCTGCACCTTTCGCGACAGTCGCTCTACGAACTCCTGGTGCTGCTCCGTCTGATGAGCACCCCCGCCTCCCCCTGAATGCTGGTTGAAGAGCACCTGCCAGGCGTTGATCTGAATCTTGGCGCGGAAGGCGAGCAGGTCGGCGTACCTAGGTAAGAGAGAGAGAGAGAGAGAGAGAGAGAGAGAGAGATGATAGTAATGAAATCGGTTTAAAAAGCTAGTCAAAGCCACTCACTTGATGGGCGTCGGAATGGACATCGGCTCTCGGGAGCGGGCGCAGGCGTGACAGGCGAAGAAGCAGAGGCGCTCCAGCTGATCAGGCTTCAGGTGAAAGTCATCCCGGAGGACGGTGTACTTCGAGGGGCGGCTGGTTCCCTACAAGTGGAAAAAATGGTTACTAGAAAACAACAAAGCAGTCCAATGTTTCCCCTTTTTGCTTACCAGCTGCGAGTAGTGACTATTGAGCAGCATCCCATCTACGGTCGGCTCCACAATGTACGAGTCCACCACCGTACCGCTGGCGGCATTGTACGTCGGTCGTCGGCCGGCGGTGTTGGCCTCCGTCAGCCCGAAGCGGACCGTATGGCGCTTCTGCACGACGACGCAGGCGAGGTTGATCTTCTGTTTGGAAGATACCTTCTCCAAAGCAGTCTCAATGGCCGCCAGCTCGACGCGCTGAATCTCGCGCATCAGACCGTCGCCGACGCCGTCCCGAAAGACCACGACATTTGTGGGCAGCTTCAGCCCATTGTGGCGGCGGTACTGCGCCAGCAGCGCCGCCATCATCTCCTCCATCTGGACCACCGTCTCCAGGCGCTCCTTCAGCTGAATGCGCATCGAGCAGGTGTACCGCGTGGCATTGACGTCGTAGCTGGCCACCGCCGCCGCTACCGAGATTCGCGCCCCGCCCCGGTCCAGCTCCCCGGGGTGGTTCACGTCCACGCCCACCAGCATCGTCTCCTCCATCTTCAGCTGCGGCACGTGCAGGCGAAGGTAGGCAGGGTCGACGATGGTGTTCTGGGTAAAAATAGAAAATAGAAAATAGGATTTGGTTTTTAGTTATCGTCTAGAACAGATATCTATTCAATCAGCACTTACAATGCCATTCAGCTTGGTGTTCACCTTGTCGAGCAGATTGTCGAAGAAGCCCTTGGGCGTGTTCATCACATTCTCTCCCTTGACGCACTGGCTCGTCAGCTGATTGTTCTCCATGTCCCAGTACTTCGAGACGGCGTACAGGTCATCGGTGTCCAAAGTTTTGTGCTCTGATGAACGGAAATAAACAAAAGAAGAAGAGGATTGTTATGACCACTTTAAATGATGACCTTCTCTTCTCTTACCGTTAGGAATGACCAGCAGGACAAACTGCACGCCCCGTTCTTTAATCTTGTCGAACATGCCTTTCAGCCCGTTCAGCTCCTCCATCTTCATCATTGCCACGGCGAACTCCGTCGGAAAAACCAGTCCCTTCTGCGCGGCTTCCGCCTTAAAGCTCTTCACAAACTCCCTGATCTTCTCCTCGGTGACGGCGTTGTCGTAGCAGAAGACGGCCCACTTGGCCGGCGCAGTGCCCGGCTGGTAGAAGCCCTTCCAGCGTCTAGCATTTTGCTGGGGACCACCTCTCTTCTGTTGTCTGTCGAGAATGGTCGGCAGCGGAAGTCGTCGGGCCTGCAGTTTCACTGGCTTCGTCGACAACTCCACGCGAAAGTGGGCCAGCAAGAGAGGGTCAATCGCTTTGATGCGCCGCACAAAGTCGACCACCTTGGTGAAGTAGACGTTTGGCTCGAGGCAGGCCGCTTCGAGGAGCTCCGTCTGCACGTCCTGCGGCTGGCGCTGCTCAACGAGAAACTGGTCCGGCAGCAGCTCGCAGACCTCCATCGGCAGGTGGACCTTCTCCCGACGACCTGGTCCTTCTCGGGGCCCTCCTCCTCCTCCTCGATGAATGTCCGTCCTGGTGCGCACCAGTGGAAGGGCGTCTACCGTGATTCCAAATCGATCTTGGTAGTACTGCTGCACGGTGGTCTCAACGCCGTCCACGCTGAACTTGTACTGGTCGGCTCGCTCGAAGCTAATCCCGTCCACAGTGTACGTCACCTCGCGCCGCCCGTAGGTGGTCTTCACCTTCAGGCCGCCCACCAGCTTGCTGGCTCGGCGGATTTGGCTCGGCGAAAGCTGATTGGCCAGATTTTGAGGGGCGTTCAGAAAGCACTGTACGAGCTGCTCTAGGGTGGCCAGGTTGGCGGAGAGGACTGCGGCGCTCTTGTGGTGCAGATTGAGGGCGAGGCCAATCTCCGTCAGGCGGACCGAGGCGCTGAAGCCGGCCACCGAGTCGAAGGCGCGGTTGCAGCGCAGGGGGCGTCGGCCCCGGGGCGCCAGGTCGTAGAAGTTTCGCTGGTGGGCGGTGAAGCTGCCCTGCACCAGGCTGCGCACCAGCTGCTCGTAGACGGGCAGCACCCGCGCGCTGACCTCGGTGGGGACCTTGGGCGTGGTCGTGGTCGCCTGTTTGCCGGTGCTGCCACTGCTGCCACTCCCCTGCTGTTTATTTTCATAGAAACGCTCCACCTGACCGAGGTCGATGGTGGAGATGAAGGCGAGGCTGATGGCGAGGCGGTTCGAACGTCCTTGCGCCAGCGTTATCTCCTGCACCTCGGGCAGGAGTTCGAGCTGGAGCCGGGCGGTGCTGTACAGCGACTGGACGCCGTCGTGGATGACGCCAAAGCGGGTGGCGGAGGCGCCCTCCCCTCCTTCTTCTCGATCACGCCCAAAGACGTCGCCATTTAGGGCGATGAACTGCTCGATGATCTCCGGCGAGGCCTTCTTGAGGAAGGCTTCAAAGGCGGAGCGGAAGAAGGGCGCTTGCCCCTGCTGTTGCGGATGCTGCTGATGCTGTTCACCACCTCCACCCTCACCTCTTTCTTCGGCTTCAGCGCCACTTCCGGTTTCGGCACGCTTGATGGTGATGCTGTACTGGTAGACGAGCACCCCCTCCTTGCTTGAGCTGTTGATCTTGAAGAAGTTGCTCACCAGCTCGACGGCGTTGCCCTCCAGTCCGCCGCCCATTGCCTGGCGACACAGCTGCTGGTGACTTTCCGATTCAGGCATGGGCAGATCGCGAGGATTGGGGCCCTGGTTTTGGCCTTGGTAGCCCCCACCACGGCCTCTAAAGCCACCACCACCACCTCCACCGCCGCCAGGATTATCTTGTCGGATCTCACCGTTGCCACGGCCTCCGCCACGAGGGTTAAAGTTGCCTCGGCCTGGCGGTGATTATCATAAGGCAATTTTGGGGGTTACTGAAACTGCATTCAAAGAGGAGAAAAGGTACTGTACCTTGCTGGTTTTGGTAATTGCCACGCTGGAAATTGCCCTGACCACGGCCCCGGCCCCGGCCTCGGCCACGACCTCGGTCGTAGCCCCCGCCGCCACCGCCACCATAATCTGCAAAAAAAATGAAAGTTTTGATCATTCAAAGTCAATTCAGGATGAAAATCGGCAGTTCAAATTACCTTGTTGATTCATATTAGTAGTTGTTCTGTTGTTAAGAAGTTGTTGTACAAAAGAGGAAAAAGTTGTTGCTGTTGTCAAGTGTTTTTGTTTGCGAAATGCAGTTGATAAAACACAAAAGAAGGGACACTTCTTTCCCTTTCCGGGACACTGCTGGTGCTTTTATACCCTTCTTCTGCTCTTTGCCGCAAAGCTGACGTGGACTTCTTCTTCTTCCCCTTCTTCTTCTGTCACCACCAGGATTGGCAGCAGCAGCACTGTACGACAGACCGTAGGCCGTAGGTAGAATGTGACAGCAACAGCCGCAGCCGCAGTATCTCGCACACAAGCGGGGGAAAACAAGGCGACAACAACAACACAAAGAAAGACAGATATAGCACACCGCACCACACTACCACAAATTGATAAAAATTGGAAATAAACAGGAGATTACAGTGTGCAGTCGGTGGTTGCGCGTGATGCCTGATGATATGATCGTCGTCCGTCGTCTCTGGTCTGTTTGGCCTGGTCACAGCAGCAGCAGCGAAGGAGCCCGCGCCAACTCTGAGACAACAGCCTGTTGATCGGACAGCGTGTGGTGGTGGTGATGGTCACCCCGCCCCCACTGAAACCGGATTCTCTCACGGCAGCAGCAGCAGCAGCAGCAGGCGACAAATCTCTTTCTCTCTCCTCGTTTTCACTCAGTCAGTCTGTGGTGGTAGTAGTGGGGAAAGAGGAGGAGGAGAGAAGGGGAAAGTGAGAGAACGGTATCCCTCCAAACAAGAGGGATGGAGGGAAAGCTCTCGGCTTGCTCGTACCTTGCGTCATGGCACAAAATGTAGAACGGAAGAGAAGGAGAGAATGTTCGAGAAGAAGGGGATGGGGATGGCTGGCTGGCCGGTTCATCGGCGACTCTCTCCGCCGTCCGCCGTCTGTCTGCTGAATATGAATCATGCAAGTGCACAGACAGAGAGACATGTGAGCTCCCTGGAGACAGTGCCGCACTCCCGACTCTCTCCCCCAAAGCACAGACTGCTGCTGCTGCTACATAGAAAAACGTTTTCTGGTCGTTTTTTGCCGCCGCTGCTGCTGCTATCGATGTACACAGCAGCTCACACTCTCGCTGGCTACCAACGTAAACAGGCAAATCCTTTGAGATGCTTACGCAGATATTTACCCGCTTTACTATTGTTTTTCCTCTAAATTTAATGTGTTTATTTCCACTGATAGGTGTACACTATGTGGTAATCTGTGTGGCTGTGTGTGATTGCGCCCTGTCGGCAATCAAAGCGTTTTAGGGAATAAGAGAGCGCGCCGGAAAAGTATGCGTAAACTGTTTGGGCTAGAGTTGATTTGGATAGGAGTAGTAGTAAATGTGTGTCATAAAGTGATTAGGCAATTAGAGAATCATAAATCAGGTGTAGGGGGAATAGGAGGTTAAGGTGTAGTAGATCCAAACTGGGAGCACATCTTTTGGATAGACAGCGGAAATAGCAGCAGTAGAAGCTTAACTGTAGTACAGCTTGTGCTTCAGCTTCTCATTCACCTTCACTGCCTCATTCAGGTCGCTGATGATCTTGCGCTCTCGCTCTTCGGCATTGGCAATGCGCCCGTAGCTCGGCTCGGCATTCACCACCTTGATGTGGGCGCCACTTCTAATTAAATTAGAAAGATCAAGGTTAGAATCAAATTCAATAACCAAAAGTAAAAAGGCATTACCGGTAGGCGCAGAGGTCGGCGTATCGAATGGCCGTGGGAATGCTGATCGGACTGCGCGTTCGCACGCACTGGTAACAGGCGTAGTTGCAGAAGTTCTGCAGATCGGTCATCGACAGGCGAAGGTCGTCCCGAATTTTGATGTACTTGGTGGGCTTGGTGGTTCCCTGTAAGAGAAAGGCAAATAAAGTCTTTAGTATTTTGCTGTGGTAAAAACATTGAAACCTGAATCTTACCAGAGGACTGTCATGACTGGCCAGGTAGAACTCCTCATTGTCCGGATCGACGATCATCGAGTCGACCACCGTGCCCTTCGGCACATTGAGCGCCTTCTGATTGCCAAAGCGATCCGTGAACAGCTTTGCCTCGGCATAGGCAAATCGAGTGTGATGGCGCTTCTGCACGCAAATCAGCGACAGCTTGGTGGGCGTCTTCGACGGTCCAATGACCCGACTGACAGCCGCCTCAATTGCCTTCAGCTCAATGGTGCGCAGCTTATCCAGCTGTCCCTCGGAGACGCCGTCGCGGAAGATGAAGATGGCGGTGGGAAAACGACCTCCATTCTGCTTCTTGTACTGCAGCAGAAGTTCGCCCATCTGTTTCAGAAGATAAAAAAGAATTTTAAAATCTGCTTTTGAGTATTCATCAGCAGTAGCCTGCTTACCATATCTCCAATCTGGACGATCATCTCCCGGTCCTTGTTCTCCTTCTTCTGCACCCTTATGCTGGCGCTGTACCGCGTGAATCCCTTATCGTAGGAGCCAATGGCGGCAGCAATCGACGACTGCACCTCATCAGTCGAACCAGGGTGGAACACGTCCACGCCGACGACCATCATCGAGGCGGGATCCACATTGCGAATGCTCTTCAGGGTGCGCTCATCAATTGCCGTGTTGATGCCGTCCATTTTGCCGTTTGTCTAGGGAGATTTTTTTTGCCAAACAATTGTAGTCATTAGCATTTTTATAGATTGAGTTTAGAAGAATAATAAGTGATAGTTACCTTCAGCAGAAAGTTATTAAAGAAACCCTTGGGCGTTCTTTTGACGTTCTTCGAGTTGATGCCCTGCGACATCAGTCCCAGCTTCTGATCAAAGATGTGCTTCACGATGTTGTAGATCTCCTTTGTGCTAGCGGATCCGTTTCGGGCTGTGTAACCACGTAGCACTGATCAGACATGATGAGAATAAGGCATAAAAGTTAAAGGATTAGGGTTAGAAAAAATGAACAACCACACACACACAACTTACCCGACGGAAAGACAAAGAAGACATAGTTCAGTCCGCCGCTTCGGTCAATCTGGCCGCACTTCTGCTCTACATCCTGAGCGCAGCCAATCTCCTCCCAGCCGACAGTCATCAGCCCTCGAATATTCTTCATCTTCAGGCCTTTGCTGGTGGCCTCGCGGACCATCTCCTCGACAAAGCCCTTCAGCTTATTCAGCTGGACGTCAGGGTCCAGGCAGACGACGGCAAACTTCACCTCCTCCTTCTGGGGCTCGTAGAAGCGGTCAAAGGGGCGGGTGTTGTGCACCATCGGCTCGTTCAGCTGGTGGGCATTGAGGCGAACCGCCTCCAGGCTGAACTGCTCCAGGCCAAAGTCTCGCTTTACCTCGGCAGCCTTGTTTCCTTCTCCTCCTCCGGCGGCGATTTGATTCACAATTTTGTGCGTCGAGTTGAAGTACACCGTCGGGCTAAGTGTACTGAAGGTGAGCAACTTCGACTGGACGTCGGTGTCCTCGGCCAGCAGACGGGTGCTCAAGAAGTGGACGTCCTTAATTAGACAGAGGTCCAGCGGCATGTAGGTTTTCTTCTTCGTCAGCATCACCATCGGCAGCCGTGGGTTTATCTTCACGTTTGGGTATTTTAGGCGGAAGTACTCATAGGTGGTGATCATCCGCGGCGGAGAACTCTTGTTCTCGCTGTACTCAAACTGGTACCGTTCGGGCTTCTCATTGGTCAGCTTGGCCACCTTGAAGTTCATCTTCTGGCCGTGGCAGACGTAGATGACCAGGCTCTTGATGGTCTCATTGACCTTGGCCAGCTGATAGAACTTCAACGGCATCCTCTGCTCTAGCTCTCGGGCATCGTTTAGCCCCAGCAGACTGGCCACCAGGTGATCGAGTCGCTTGAAGGACTTGCTGATGATGGCCGTCGCCTTCAGGTGGACATTGAGAGCGAGGCCAAACTGCGTCTGGCGGACGCCGCAGAGGAAGCCTCGAACTAGGTCGTAAATGTTTCGGAAGTTTTCACGTTCTCCGCCCACGTCAAAGTACTTTCGCTGGAAGGCGGTGTAGCCGGCGTCGGTGATCAGCCGCTTGAAGATGATCTCCAGGACGGAGAAGACGCGCTCCGGAATCTCGCTCACCTTCTGCTCGAAGAAGTCGTTCGCCGCCGAGAGGTCGATGCGCTCCACGTGCTTGATCTTCACCTTGAAGGTCCGCTCTCGGCCCTGAATTAGGGCCTTCTGCAGGAACTCCTGCTCTGGTAGAATGGGCAGCAGGCGGACCGAGTACAGCGCCTTGTAGCCGTCGTAGATGGTGCTGCTGTTAGTAAAGTAGCCTGGATGATCCTTCTGGAAGGCGGCAAAGATCTCCGGAGAGAATTTCTTGATGAAGAGCTCCGCCTTCTCGTCGACGATTGCCAGCGCAGCCATTGCCTCCTCTGCACCGGAAACATCAGCGGAAGTGGAAGGAGCCTGCGCCCGGGCAGGCTGTTTCTTTTTCTCCCCCTGTGACTGATGATGGGAACTGCTGCTGCTGCTGCTGCTGCTGCTGATGGTCACATCGTAGTGCTGTACGACAATGTCAGAGACGGCGATGCGGTAGAAGTTGGCCAGGACGGGAAACGTCTTCAGGTGTTCTGGTTGAACGTGCTTGCTCGGCAGCAGCGCCTTGTGCACCACCGAGCTGGGCATTCGGGGCGTTTCCCCAGCAGGTGCACCGCCTTGAGGCTGCTGGAATCCGCCGCCTCTTCCGCCCTGGTGTCCTCTTCGATTGAAGCCGCCGCGGCCACCACCGCCCGAACCGCTTGGATGCTCACGGTTTCTATTGTCTCCGCCCTGGTTGAAGCCGGCTCGAGGCTGTTGATAGCCACCGCCACCACCACGAGGAGCATACTCCTCTCGATTGCTCTGCTGCTGGCCACTCGGATTAGCCTGTTGTTGTGGTGGTGGTCGATTCTGTTGGCCACCACCGCGAGGAGCATACTCCTCTCGATTGCTCTGCTGCTGGCCACTCGGATTAGCCTGTTGTTGTGGTGGTGGTCGATTCTGTTGGCCACCACCGCGAGGAGCATACTCCTCTCGATTGCTCTGCTGCTGGCCACTCGGATTAGCCTGTTGTTGTGGTGGTGGTCGATTCTGTTGGCCACCACCGCGAGATGCACCACGGTTGCCCTTTCGGTTGGCTAAAGTCGCAGCCAAGGGTGACAGGAAAGAAGGTGGTGATTAGCATCGGCACTGTACGACAACAACAACAACAGAAGAAGTGGACTTACGTTTCTCTTGCCATCCGTCAGACATTCTCGGTTGTTGGATCGGTGAAGTGTTGATTACTAAAAAAAGTTGGAACTGAAGTAGTGTTCACTTTGTGAAAGTAGGTCGTTGAATGAGTGTGTCACTGTGTGTGAGTGTCAGTATCTGCGACGTAGCTTTTTTGTTGGCTGAATCTACCAGAAAGATCAGCGGCAGCAGATGGATGTGTAATACGATACATCAGCGCTTTGGATGTTGCTATGCAGTTGCATCAGCAGCAGCAGCACAAAGGAGGCTTGGGGAATGGGGTGCAGGAACGGGAATGCTGTCCATTTTTCCTCTGTTTTGGGTGCTAACCTTTGGCTGTGCTGCTACAGCGGAAAAGTGGACAGCATTCCCATCCCTGGAATAGTGCGCCTTCACTGCCCTTCTTCACTGTGCAGTGCACTACCACTACTCCAACAGCAGCCACAGATTCATCCTCGTCGAGTCACTCGACTCGAGTGGATGTTTGCTGCTAAGCTCCTCTGAACTGACACCAGATAGAAGCAGGGGCTTCATAGCATTGCTCAAAAATTTTTCGAACACGGGAAAAAAGATGTAATTTACAATTTGTAAAATGCATGGGCCATTTTTTGACGCCACTGATAAGATTGCTGCTATGTGATAGAAGAGGCACTGGTGGCGCCTCTAGTGGCTGCACTTTACTGGAGAAAAATCGCATTTAGAACAGTTCAACTTTTGGTATCAACAATTGTTGATTTATATTTCCCCCAGTGATGATCACTCTGCTGTTTGAACCTCACCAGCGTCGATAACTTCAAACAATAGATGTTCTTTTTGCTATTAATCATTCAATCAATCAACTTCACACAGGTCAATCGGCTTCATCCACCGTTCCAGAAGCTCTTTTTGGCTCTCCCTTTGCTCCTCCAGTCGGCGCATCACCTTCCAGCCTTTGGCCTGCGTCGTCAGGAGGTACTCGTTGCCGGGCTGGGAGCGATAGCTGACGGCGCCCAGCGTCAGCGACTGGGCGAGGCGGGCCCGGGCGCAGGGAAAGAGAAGGCGAAGCTCTTCCGGCGAAAGAGGGACGTGCTTCAGGAAGCTCTGCAGGACGTATCGCGGGCCGTCGAGGACCAGGTCGAGGTCGGCGGAGGGATCCGGCTCCAGAAGCATCAGGTACAAGATGGCTGAAGGGAGGAAGGTAAGATTGATGGAGTTTAGAAGAAGGCACTTTCTCACGTTTTTGCAGTGATTTTTTACAGGTGGCACTTACCGATGGCAATGTCGAACACTCGGGGACTGTAGGAGATGTCGCCAAAGTCGATGACTGCCAGCTCAAAATCTTTATCATCCTCATCATCGACCAGAATATTCTGCTCGTTAAAGTCGCCGTGAATGTAGGCCTTGGGAAGGTGGTCCATCACCGTCAGCACCTCCACCTCAAAGTCCTCCACAGCTGAGCGAACTAAAATGGCTTTCTCTTTACCCTCTTCAGTGGACTCCTCAAAGACGTCCTCCAGGTACTGCTTTATCTTCGGCGCGGCCACCAGCGACCAGAGGCCGGTGGGCCGATTCCGGATCGCCCCATTCTCGTAGCGACCATCGTTGATGGCTGCCAGCAGACGCCCGAGAAGGTCTCCCGATTTGGCGAGAAGCGACGGCGTCATCCGGTAGTCGAAGAGGCGTCGACCGGGGACAAAGTCGAGCAGGCGGACGGCGAAGAGCTTCGCTGGAGCTTTTCCCTCTTTTTCCGAAGCTTCAAAGGCCTCCCGTGCTATGTGGTGGCCGTGGGCGTTGAAGAGCGGCCGGGAGACCTTCAGCGTGCGGTAGTGGGTGGCCAGGTGGAGCATCATCTCGTTTTGGCCTTCCAGCATTCCTGGGCAGAAGAAGGTGAAGAAGGTGAAGAAGAGGGTGAGTTTGTTATTTAGAAGAATTTTTGGGTTTTCCTTTACCTTTCAGGGCACTGTCTTCGGCGTTGCTCACCTTGAGGACGTAGGCCGGCTTTCCGGTGTCTGCCTCCTTCAGCAGGTAATTTCGATCATCGTAGCTGACAATCTCCTTCACCTCGCCCACTTTGGCAGCCACTGAAGGGTAGAGACGGGAGAGAAGGGACCGGGCGACTTCGACCGTCGTCGGTGGCTTGTTCTCACCGGAGGAGCTCATTTTGTGTGAAAAAAGATTTTTTGGCTGAAGATGATTGTTATGCTCAAGAAATAAGCTCAAGAAGTACAAGTGAAGAGTCAGTCGATCAGTCAGCATCAGTGGTCGGAATGCTAATGGAGCTGGCAGGCCATTTCCATTTCTATTGCCCACTTGACTGGCTGTGTCTGTGTGACTTTGATGGATTGTCACACCACTGCTCTCTAGCTACTGCAACTGTCACCAAGATTTGCTTTCCATCTCGTATTACTTTGCTCTCCCTCTCCCTCTCTACAAGCTTTCCAGTCTGTCTATCACAATTGAGAAAAGTTCACTTGATAAGGATGGACGAGGAGGCGAGACGAGGAGACGGGCGATTGGAGAGCAGAGCAATGGAAAAGAAGAGGATCAGCGATCACAATGTCTTATCTGTCACTGTGCATTTTGTGATTTGTCATCCTGGGAGATGCTTTCAATTGGTGTTTCAGTTCTGGCCTTGGTAAGTGCACCACCAGGAAAAGTCTCGTTGATTAGTTGTATTTAATAACAGGGGCGTAGTACTAGAGCTTATTTACTTTTCAGCTAAAACACTGTTTGTTTTTGCTAATCTTTCTTCTTTTTCTTTTTCCTATGACGGACAAAACTCTAAATTGAAACATCAGCCGCGGTCAACCAGAAGAATTCGTTGTGCTGGTAATGGTCAAAATGGGAAAAATGGCCAGCAAAAATAGTCATCATCAAGGGAATACTAATAATCTTATCCGCCGCTGCCGCCGCCGGTTAAGGAGATCAAGAAAAGATAATCGAATTAGCGGCAGTAGCAGCAGCAGTAGCAAAGGCAAATATTTACCAAACTGAGTCTGCAGAAACGCGATTGGAATTTGCTGCTACAACTGCTGCTGCTGAAACTCTTTTGTACAGCAGCTCATTGTACAGCTGAAAAAAAAGAAGAAAAAGAAAAGCTTTCACTGGTATCCACCAGTAGTGCCACACACTCTCTCACACATCACCACCCTCACCAAACGACGGCAGAATCTTCTCAATTAGATTTGGACAGTTGTGGTCTATATAGAAGAACTGCCTGGAAGCCGTCTTTTCCATCACCGTACACACACTGAACTGAACTGAACAGAACAGAGCAGAACCCGAATCAACGAAGCGAGACGCGAAGGCGAGGAGACAGAGGCCGTGGAGAATGGCCGTGTGTGTCCTGTCCTGTCCTGTGCTGAGCTGGTACAGTGTACACTCACTCAATCGATCTAAAAAGCAGCGAGCTGGGCCAATGTCTGCTTCCATTACCAACATTTTCACTAGCTGCTGCTGCTGCTGCTGCTGCTGCTTCGATCGAAATGAAGAGAGGAGAGAGAATGAATGAAAAGGCGGGCAGGCAGGCAGAGGGGCCAGTCAGGCGATGTCAGAGCCATTAGCAGCAGCAGCAGCAACGACGGCAGAATATTCTCTCTCTCCTTTCTCCTAATTCTTCATAGCAGGCAAAGAATTGTAGCATGAGAGTCGTAGCTGTCTGCTGCTGCTGTATTGGGTGAAGAAGAGAGAGAGAGAGAGAGAGAGAGAGGAAAAAGGAAGAGCTGTGCAGTTCCAAAACAAATACACTGTCGCTGCTGCTGCTGCTGCTGTACCAGATTCTGTAGCTGCTGCTGACGAGTTTAGAGGAGAGACAGAGAAAGAGAGAGAGAGNGAGAGAGAGAGAGAGAGAGAGAGAGAGAGAGAGAGAGAGAGAGAGAGAGAGAGAGAGAGAATCGAGCTCGGAGCTACTTTTCGGTGCTGCTGTTTTGAATTCAGCACCAGCCATTCAGAACTGTGGAATTCTCTCCTTTGCTCATCATTTCTGGTTCTTCTTTATTGTCCACTTTCACTCTGTATCCATCTTTTTGTTATTCTACAACTATTCAGTACAACTATTCGTTTAATTGTCCCACTACTTTAATGCCCACCAATGCCTCTGTTGGCTGCTGAGCGACGTGATCGTCATCACCACCACCACCACCTTCACTTTCATCACCTCTTTTCGCCCTAGTCCTTTGTCGCAATCATTTTTAGGATAATCTCAACTCATTATCATCATCACCATCATTTACATCTTCTTCTCTAACCAATCTCACCTTTGACCTCTGATCTCACTTCATCTTTAACAAAAAACGTCAAAAACAAAATGGAAAAGAAACCACCACCACCGGTGTACTTTCGCACTAAAAAGTGGATACTGGTTATCACCTCGATGATCGGCGTCTGGCTCTTCTACAACTACGCCGACATGGTCATTGACATTGTCAACAGTAAGGAGTTTAAGAGCGACCTCGGCCACGCCCTCGCAGAGGAGACGCCCACCGAGCTGAAAACGATCAAGGTAGATTCTTTCTTTCTTTTTTTAACGAAAAAAAATGTAAAATTCTTTACCCGTTTTTTCAGCGCTGGTCCAAGATCAGCTTTGTCCTCCTCTCCGGCGCGGGCATCATCGGCCAGCTGTGCGGGCTGATCGGCGGCGTGCGCGGGTACATCTTCATGGTGAATGCGCACGTCTTCATCAACCTCTTCGTGGTCTTCGCCCATGTGCTGCTGTTCATCTGCGCCTTTGCCTTCACCTCCATCACCATCAACCAGACGCACACCTTTGACATGGGCGCGAAGATAGGCGGCATCACCTTCCTGGTGGTGAACATCACCGTGGGGTGGCTTTTTCGACGCGACATCAACATGATCCGCCACCGGGAGAAGCTCAGTCGGTGCACCTGTTCGTACATTGCCGCCGCCCAGGCGCAGTTTGCCGCACAGCAGCAGCAGGCGCAGCAGGTGAGGAGGAGGTTTTGGGAGTTTTGGGAGTTTTAGGAGTTTTAAGAGTTTTAGGATTCTAATAAGGTTTTTTTGTTAACAACAGCAGCAACAGTACATCACCGGACCGGACGGTTCGCGGTACATGATCGCCCGACCGACGCCCATCGGTGGCGGTGGCTCTCGGCTCAACGGCGGCAACGGCAATGGCAATGGCAATGGCCCCGATGGTGATAATGGAAATGGCGGCGGTGGTGGAGGAGGCGGAGGCAATAGCAATCAGTGGCCAATTGTGCCGCCTGGAGGGCAGTTGTGGCCCTAGGATTTCTTTTTCAGCAGCAGTTGCAGAAACTGTTGTTCTTTTCTTCAGCAAGCCTTCGCGTTCTAGAGAAGCTCGACTAGTTTTGTAACAAAGAGGCTATAACAACAACCACAACAAACTTGATTACCCTACATTTCCGTTGCCAAAGTCTAGGTCGTACAATTTGTTCAGTTTTACAATATTTTCTTTCTCGTACAATCGTACAAACATCACCCTCTTCACCTGCGTCGTACAAATAACCTCCTTCTGCAGATATGTTTCATTTCCTTTCTTTTTCTTCTTTTTCTCTTCTGTTTGCTCATTACTCCAAATATGTTGATTGATTGATTTCCTCGTCTAGCTCAATATTCTCTTTTTGTTTGTCTTCTTTTGTTTTATCTTCCCTTGGTGTATTCCATTCTGTTTACCAATTCTAGGTCTTTTCAAAACAAGACAAGTCTCGCTTTCTCATTCATCTTTCACTTTCCATCTGATATATGATATCTGTCACTTCCTCACCACCATCACCACCACCACCACCCTCATCAATGAATCAATCTTCCTCTTTGTTGCCAAATAAACAAAAAATACTCACTAAAGAGGTCACATTTGACCAGTGTAAAAGATAAATACTCAAAGTTTTTGCTTTGCTTGCTTGCTTGCTTGCTTGCCTTTATTTGCCACTGTAAAAATTAGTTTTAGAAGTTTAAAAATTGAAAAAATTAATTGATTGTACACTAGTTGCTCCTAGCCTGCCCTATTGCCCTATTCTTTCTTTATTAACGTTTTCTTCCTTTTAACCATAGACGTAGCCATTGGGACCCCAGCCCCAGATCGGGTCGTCATTGGTATCAGGGTCCCAGGGATAGCAGGAGCCGCAGCAGCAGCTGCAGCACCGCTCATTCACCTCATCAGAAACGGGAACTGCCGAGCTGGGCAGTGGCAGAAGCGAAATGAGCACCAGCGAGGCGACCAGCGCCAGAAAAAGGTAGGAAGCAAGTGGTCTCTAAGGAAAGTGAAATTTGAGTTTAAAAGATTTAAAAAATTGTTTAATTTTACCATTTTTGAAGAGTTAATGTGTTTGCTGCGGTGATAAAAGTGGTGCCTACTGGCGCTGCTTTTAAAGTGTTCAGTGTTTATACTTGAAAAGGACGATGGATGATGACATTGAGAGCCAAAAAAGTTTACTTGGTATTTGCTCAAATACTTGGTATAATTGTGTTTCTAAAAATGACAGCTGGCAAAATAGGTCATTTCAGTCAAATTGTACAAATTTAACCTGTACGGTAAGTTAGTTTCAAGGACACCGGAGAGTTGGGGAGAACTGTTCTGTTTTCAAAGAACGCAGTGAAAACAAAACTACTAGACTGATTCTTTCAATGATCATTTTTTTCTAAAATCAGTAAACTGGATCAATCATCAAAACACAAAACATGCAAA